CAGAACGCACAGCCATCACATGGGGGTCAGGCACTGTTCGGCGGCTCAGCCAGCATGTGCGATGCGGTTCAAACCTATCCTGAATAGAATATAATCTTTGTTTATTTTGCACACACTTACAAGTCATTTTAATGTCATCATGTTAAATTACCTATATTAATTTCCTTTAAACACGACCGACTGGAGCCCCCTTAAGTGGTTCTAACTTTCCAAATGATTCTACAATTTCTACTTAATGGTGCTTTCATTATATTTCTAGCAGAACAGATTGATTTTTCAACAATCAACTAGGACCGGACGTATACGGTACGTGCACCTGCATTTTGACTTGCAATAATTTAATTAAAATTACTTACTTACTTCTCTCGTGTGTGGGTGGTGCACGGTATATGGCGGCAGTGATTCTCAACGTGGCGACTGGCGGTTCGACGACGTGCGTATTCGGCGACTGGCGACTGGCGAGTGGCGAGTGACAACCGCGAGTAGCAACCACGAGTCCACGTGCGATATTGGTTCAACGATATGTCGTGGTCTACAAAAATAATAACAATATTATTAAAACAATAAGACAAACTAACAACAATATTATATTGATGAAAATAATTGCAAACAGAAATGAAATGAATAAAAATAATAAAAACACTAACCGAAAACGCGTATACACATTATACACTTTCCGTGCGTGGGTGTGTAAAATAAATACACGCGAGTATTGTTGGTGTCTCTACACCGTGACTGTGCCTACAATATTATTCTATTTATTGATCAGATCCAGATCACAGATAAAAGACTAAGATCCAGATGATCTCTCTTCGGCAATGCGTAGGTACGCGAAAATATTGCAAAGTGTAAAACTGTAAACTCCGACTAAACTGCAGTCTGCAGAGTCCACTATAAATTGGTGTAGACGACTCTGACGACTGACAGTCTGACGAGACAGTGACTGAGTAGGTAGTAGGTAGTGAGTAACGACTGTACTACTGTAGTAGCACTCATAGAATTCTACTGTTGACTTTTGTAAACTTGTAACTTGTGTCTGTAACGAATGTAACGACCGTGGCGTTGAAGCAATAAGTAATAACGTTCATCTTCATGACAAAATAAACAATATACCTATACAGTATTACGGATTACCGTTGTATTGAACATTTGAAGTTTGAACTGTGTTTCAGTGTTCGACTGTTCGTAAACTTTGAATAAATTAAAACCGTCGTCATTGTTTATAATATAATTTCGTAACAAAGAGGGATACAAGTTGCCAACATTCTATATTTCTATCAGATTATTCAGATTACGAATATGGTACAATTTAGGACTGGAGTCCAATGCTTTTAAGACCGTTGTTTTGTGGTAGTGTTCTCTTGGGATAAATTGGTGCCCCCCCCCCCATCCACTCCGATAATGAGTCGCAACTAAAAATACACTCGCGCACTCACAAGTCACAAGTCACAACGCAAGTACGGAACGATGACCAATAGGCAATAATAATTTACGGTGAAGAGAAAACGCCGAAAATCCCCATTCTTATTCATATATCATTATTATTCGTTTATGCACGGGCACTGAGTAGGAGTACTGACAGAACTACAGAAGTCGGAAAGTGCAGTGTATTTAAAATACTCGATTTCGGTTAATCATAATTTATTATTCATTTTATGCATATTGATAAATTTTTATTTTTTATTTAATTATTTCAATTTTCAATAATAACAATATTACGCACGCCATTAATAAGGTTAGGTACAAACGTTGGCACAAACGTTACACGGGCACCGATTTTTGTTTCGTTGTCGTCTGTCGTAGTGTCGTCATTCGTGGTCGCGTACTCGCGTAGTGCCGTACTGCCGTAGTCACTGCCGTCTCTTCACTTTTGACTTATCAGTTACTCAGTTCGCGGTTTAACGTTTGTAACTCGTCAACGTTTTTGTCTATTGCTGTATTATACTTGCGTCTCGCACCGCCATCAACGTCACGCTAACTGGAACCGCTGCTCCTACGCCCTACTTCGACACGGCTGCCGTAGTGCCGTGACATACCACTACCACCCGGAACGCGACCATAGGTGAGAGTTTTGACAAAATTCGTCGAAATCATAAACATTTGCAAATTATATTAAATTTGCGGGTAGGTAAACGTGTCGTATACTATATACCGGCATATGCAATTTACAAAAAATGACTGCTTGTGTCGTACCAATTATGCTGTCGACGTATAAAAATATATTCTTTACAAATGTGGCCTTTATTACGACTTACATACAATTTACATCTTACATTCTTACCTCACAACATCTGACTTAATTTATCCGAGTTGTCCCTACCAATATCGATTAGGCATTTTCTATATTAGCCCATGTTTCAATACCATACCTTTGTTTAGAACTCACACATTGATTTGAATTCAACTGCAGCAAGTAAGAAAATAGGTACATACCTATTCTATATACTTATTTTAATTCAATAATATTTTAATAAATCTAACCAATAATTTAATAATTTCTTAACGTCAGTATTTTGTTGGTTTTTACCCTGCCTAAACACTAAAGCACTTAAATTTAGTATTAAGTTTTAACACAATGAGGATTGATGATAATTAAAATTAATCACAATTTTTAAAATATATTTAAAGGTGTTTGGCACGTCAGTAAAATAAATGGATACCATTCAGGCTTCATCTTGTGAAAATAATCTAAAGCAAGTTCTGAAATCAAATGAATGTGAAATAACTAATTTTAGAAATGACTCACACTCTGTAAGAATACTAGAAGATTTACAATCTCTACGCAAGTATGATTACAGTGATTTTACCTTCATTCAAAATAAATACCCGTACCAAATTTTTGTTTTTAGAAGTGAAGTTTTTTGTGATATTAGATTTGAAGCAGATGATGGTAAAATTGTAATTGGACATAAAATTGTTTTAATAGCAGCTAGTCCATATTTCCGTGCAATGTTTAGTAATTTTGATGAGAGCAATAAAGATCTTGTTTCTATAAGAGAATTAGATTCCACCATTTTACAGCTATTAGTAGATTATATATATACTGGAGAAATTATGGTGACAAAAGAAAATGTACAGGTACCTATAATTAAATATTTAAATATTTGATTTGATATACATAGACTTCAAACAACATATAATTTTAAATTAATTTTTGTTGATTTCTAAGGTGTTGTTAGCAGCTGCAAATGTATTGCAGTTAGATTATGTAAATGGTGTATGTGCTGAGTTTTTACAAAAACAACTAAATCCATCAAATTGTCTTGGTATCAGAGAGTTTGCTGACCTACATAACTGTATTGATTTGTTGTCAATTTCTGAAGCATACATTAAACAAAATTTTTTGTATGATTTACATTATTTGATTCTCTATATCAAGAGTAAGTAGGTAATTTATTATAAAATGAAAATTATTATTTCCAGAGAAGTAGCTAAAGGCGAAGATTTTCTATCCTTATCTTCTGATGATTTGGTGAAGCTTATTTCCTCTAATGACCTTGCTGTTCCATTTGAAGAAAAAGTAAGCACACTACAAATTGTAATTTTTAATAATATATTTTATGGTATCGTTAATAAAATAATTTATTTTACTATTAGACATTAGTAATACTGTATTTCTGGAGCAGTTTTAAATTTTTAATTTTTATTTCCTAAAAAGTTGCATAATATGAAAAGATCATTGTGTGCATATAATATAACAATAATATACCTCCTTTAAATTTTTAAGTTCCAACAAATAATATTTTTAAATTAAATAACTAAAGTCAATAAAGCTTGATTACTATGGAAAATAATTTTATTGACTGTTATTGAAAATAAACAAAGAATTTTCTTATTTTAAATGTCTATAAATATTAAATAGGTCTAAAATTATCAAACCATTTTTAAAATGTTATCATGTATAAAATTATATAAATGAAATATTAAGTAACTATCTGTTGAAACTATGTAAAATTATACAAATTATCAATTATAAAATGAAATAATTTGTTCAAATTAATTGTATCAGATCTACTTGATGATATGGAGTTTCGCTGTCAACTCCGACTGAAATTAATTGGCTATAAATTCACCTCTGCATACCATATTGATGAGTCAATAGGCTCAAAAAATGTTGCAAAAGCAGCACATAAACCTTCAACTGCATGTCTATATTGTGATTTATGTGTAATTAAAAACAACAAATAATATATATTATTTAATACCATAAAAATATTTATTAATATTCCTTTTCTTGCTATGAAAAGTAGGAACCCATGATATTAAAGATCTAATTTATTTTTGGGATCCTGTGATAATTATACTCTATTGAATGGTTGAACGAACTGTTATTATATTTTAATCTAGTTTAAAATATTTGTTATTGTAGGTATTTGAATGTGTTATCAAATGGGTAAAGCATGATTTTGATCGTAGAAATGATTTTTTGCCAAAATTAATGGAACATGTACGTTTGCCATTATTAAAACCTGATATATTATTTAATATATCTAAAGAACCTCTTCTAAGCAATAGTTCTAAATGTATGTTATTTATATAAGTATGGTATCATTATAAATTAATAAATTTTATGAATAATTGTTATAATTTTTTTAGGTAACAATTATATAGTCGAAGCATTTTATTTTAATCATCAAAAGTCAGTTCAGCATTTCACCATTCCAAAAACGATTAGGTTTGAACCTAGACAGTTTGATGGTTTTCAAAAAGTAAGATTCCGTTTCGATAAATTTATCTTCACAATTATTTTGTCCATTTAATTTTATAAGGTTATTCTAATGTTCAATCGGTCTGAAACATTGCCAAAGTGTTATACAGAATGGTATGACCCAACAACCAAGCTAAGAGAGAATGCACCAGGGTTAAATGAATGTCGGAGGTTAGCTGGTCTCTGCGTTATAAGAGATAAATTTGTTTTTGCTGTAGGAGGTGTAAATGAATCAAGTTCTAAGTCTGTTAGTATGCTTGACGTATCTTCACAATCGCCCTCCTGGGTTCCGATGGTCGACTTGGTAGTTAGCCGAAAACGATTGGGAGTTGGTGTATTGGATGATTGTATATATGCAGTAAGTTAAATCAATATTTTACTTATTTTATATTAAGAATGTATATTATTTGTAATTCTAGGTTGGTGGAGGAGATCTCATAAATGCATTAAATAGTGTAGAGGTATTTGATATTAGTATTCAAAAATGGAGAACAGTAACTAGTATGTCAACTAAAAGATGTGATTTGGGTGTTGGTGTACTCAATAATTTATTATACGCGGTAAAACTTAATATTATTTATTTGTTTTAACTTTGTTTTACTTTTCATTAAATTAAATTGTGTAGGTTGGGGGTGCTGCAGATAAATGTACAGCTTTGAGTTCTGTGGAATATTATGATCCCACACTTGACACATGGACACCAGTTGCAAATATGTCTATAAACCGTCAAGGTGTTGGTGTAGGAGTCTTGGACGGTCTTATGTATGCTATTGGTGGCCATGGTGGAAAGTATCTTAAAAGTGTTGAGGTTTATAGACCGAGTGATGGAGTTTGGTCTTCTGTAGCTGAGATGGAAATATGCCGATTTCGTCCTGGTAATAATTATATTTTTTAGGACAACCTTTGTAAAAATGTATTGAATTTAAATTGTATCTTTATATAGGAGTAGTGGCATTTGATGGTTTATTGTATGTTATGGGTGGAGACATTGAGACATCTAATGTTGATACTGTAGAAATTTACAACCCCAGCACCAATACTTGGACCTTGGAGAGATTGTCAAGAAATGAAGTAAAAATGTATGGTGGAGTAGTTGTTGATAGACCACATCATTATCATTAATCATCTTTTAGAATTACTCATTGTTAATAAAAATATGAAAATATTTTTATAAACATTTTGATAAACGTGTATTGTTTTATATTTTTTTTGTTGTTTTGAATATTTGATAAGAATGTTTTTTATAATTTATACTGACTATTTTCAAATAAAAAAAATAAGCTTTAAAGTTAATTATAATGCAGTATATCAGTAAAAACTAAAATTATATCTATAGTTTACTATTCAAATTATATCTTTTAGATTCTGTGTGGAAAAATAACATTTTTTGATTTTTCAATGATTTCTTTCTTTTTGGGCGTGTGTACAGTGTACACGTTGAAAAGGTACTTGAAATTTTTACCAAATGTTTATTTTATCATTTTATATGTATACATTTTAAAATATTTCAACTTGTATTGGGCTATATATAGATGTTTTGAATTTTTTTTTAGTTAATTTTGTGTAAAACGTTGTTAAAAATGTTACTGTTGAGTCAAAATATAAATATTTAATACTAGATTTATACGTTGTTATGGCAGCATTTTAAAATTATTTAAAATCCATATTCACAATTTTTTTTATAAGCTTTGAATTATTTTGCTGTTAAAAATGTTAAATTTTTATAGCTAAGGATTGAAAAATTTAAAACAAGGTTTCCCTTAAGTAGTACATATTGCAACCAAAAAATATAAAAACCTGGTTTTTTTGTGATAGATTTTAAGTAAAAGTTTGTGACAAATATGACATTTAAATGAAGAAAAACTATTTTATTTATTTTGTTGTAATTTAAAAATATTATTCATGAATGGGGACTTGAAATTTTAAAATATATTATTATATTAATAACTAGGTAAAATCCATAAGAAATATACTTCATTTATTAACCATATTGAAATTTTCAAATGCATTTTTTTTTCTATTTAGGCTAAAACCGTCTTTGCTGAGAAACTTATTTTGATTACAATCGCTTTGTATCATTGAATTTAAATTGAATACAGCAACCCGTCAAGACATATACTGTACAGCGGTTTGGTAGGTACCCATGCACTTACCCATTTTTGTTTTAAATGTAATTAAATTGTATACATATAGGAAGTTGAAATAGTTAAAACTAGAAGATTTGATAAATTAAATTACTATTTTACTAATCAAGTTTTTTAACTATTTTTTATTTTGTATATTTACAGACGTACTGAGGTACCTACACGTAGCATTCTTTATTTTTATTTTTATTGTTTAGTACTAAAATTCAATCAATATAATCTTTGAAAGATTATTAATAGGTACTTGGTGTATTATACATTGTTTTATGCAAATTATAGGAATTAATTCAACTCACTGGCTACCATAGACCGTATATAGTAGGTATAATGGTACAACATATTTAGGTATAACATAAGATATCGTTGGCCGGCACACCGTCTCTGCTCAGAATCCTTTTTTTTGTGTACAATGATATTATATCACTGAATTCAAATTCAACCACATCCGTTACAGGTGGCTTCTCTAGACACCTACTGTTTATCATTGATGAGCGATTGCGTCATTGGTTTCCAACTAGGTCCCACTCCAATGGGAGTGAAGACAGCACATGACCTCCTCTTGCAGGA